AAATAGGCTTAAAGGCTAAAAACCTATTTGAAGCCTACATATAATTAAAATAAAATTAAGAATTGTAATAAATCTAGATAAAACATATTTTAAAGAGTTACATCTAAAATTTAGTCATAATGCAATGCAACTAATATGAAATTAACCAACAACAAGAAGTGAGCAACAATACAACCCAACAAATAAAGGACAACAACATTAATCAAGACTTTAGTATAATCTCCTCTTATTCGAATGGCTTCTACACAATGAAAGAATGAATTGAAAATAGATAACTAGTTCAACACATGTCCAATCAACAATGCAACAAATATTAAACGAAATAAATTTTTACCTTTTGTTTTCTCTTCAACCTGTATTTTTACCTTTTAAGTTACAATTTGGTCACTAAGAAATTTTTCAGGGCACCTCTAGAACTCACGACTACTTGGGTTTAGTAGTTTGCTAGATTCAGGCATATTATTGAGTTTGTATGTCAAAATTTGAGATGTTAGAGAAGATCCAGATGGGAAATGAAACTAGAATTTAGTTGCATATATAGCTGCATCACTAAACATAAATTTGTTCATTTGCAGCTTCTTTCCAAAAGAATTTGGTTCGGTTTGATTGCCAATTTTTTATTTTTAAAAAATCAATATTGACGAAATTGTTTGAATTAATCTTTTGTGACATATGACACATTATGGAACCAGAGAGCTTGCGTGGGGGTGATGATGATGAGGATGCTTAATTTATATAAATGTAATTTCTGAAACATTCAACAGGGCATTAGTCATGCATGCCTACACTCATGCACTGACACCCACCTATAATTTTCAAGCTACATACATACATACATTATTTATCCTTAGTGATGAACTTTAAAATGCACAAGGATCCATTTTTACCATAAGGAAATAGAAAAATATTTGAAAAGATAAAGGAAAAGGCATGGAAATTAAATTAAGATTCTTATTCATTTACAAGGAAAATAAACTATCATTATAATTTTAGTCATTTGTCCATATTATTTGTATTTGTATTGGATTTCAGCAAGTCAATTATGATTTATGAGTAACAAGTTTCATAGGAATAACTGCCATGTGAGAATATTAGTGGCCATCACATTTTTTCCTACAAAGTCAATTATGCAAAAAAAAAAAAAAGATTATGTGATATAAGAGTTTGTTACACAAACTTGAAATCTTGACAATGTACACCATGTGTCTTAACTAACTACTTTTCTTGTAGCATGTATGGGACGTTTTGCTCGATGTCTGAAAAGAAAGTTTAACTTGTCAAAAAGTAGATTCAGGGATTGGGTTAACTGTATGCGGGAAGAAAGCATCCCAAAATGGCTTCACAAGCATACCAAAGGACCTTCTATTTCTTTTTGGTTTCGTAACAAGTTCCCAACTCTCTGTGGTGGTGCTCTTCTTAAACCAGACTATCATTCTCTGGACGAATTTACATTGTTCATAAATGAAGAAGAAGCAAGTTGGTATACTGGAGGTTGTTATCCCTTATGGAAAATTGGTAATATAGCTCTGTATGGTTTAAAAATGAAGCATTACTTGCAAACACAATTTCAAGAAGGTGAGTGGAATTATGTAGAGATCTATGTGGAAGAGGCAATGGAGATCGAAATCTATGTAACTAAACAACAATACAGCAAGGAAGACATCCGATTCACCGATCCTTATATGGATGCCATGGCTGGTAACCAAGGTAATGCTTTTCTCCCCATTCTTTTTTATTTTAATTTAGATTAGTGTGCGTGCGTGCGTGCGTGAAACGGTTTCTGTCTGTTTAGTGTTAAGCTTAAACAAAATGGGTGAGGATGTTAATTTTATTCATTTGCACTCTTGAGAAAAACACTATCTTTCTTTCAGTAATTTATTCATTGTTCATCATGTCTATGTTTGGGATCCATGGCGGTTCTGCATGATTAGCATTTTCCTTTAGAATAACAGCTAAAATTAGTATCGTCAACAACAAGTGAATTTTTAATTTACTTCAAGTTTGTTATATAAAAAATCATTTGATATATATATATATATAAGCCAGGATTTTTCTATATATAAAAACTTATTTCTACGAATCTTCTTAAGATCGAAATCAAAATTATGATGTTCAAGTTGTATTTGAAATTACATAATGTTATATCATCCATGACTTAATTACCATCATTATTTGTAGAGGATACAGATTTCATTTTGTTGGAATATTCTTGACAAGTTGTGTGTATTCTTTTTATATTCTTTAAAAGTGGATCCTGATATTTCTTTTAAAAAGTGAATTTCTCGTAAATCAATTTCACGTTTATTCTTTGTGTGTGTGTGTATACATTTATTTATTTATTTATTACATTAACAAAAATTGAGCCTTCTTTCAAGAGTGAACCTACACCCCACCTCACCTTCGTTCAATTTCAAGCAATCGTTTTGGGTATCAATTGGGAAGTTTCATTCAAAAGTAAACGAAGTACATCAGTGCTTCATAATGATAAGGGTATGATTGTAATTATATTAAATGCAGACTAATAAAATAATAAAACTGGGTATAATCGTTGTTCTATTGCTAATTATTAATTAGGCTCCAATTTGTGCATTTTCATTCCTCATCACCTGAGTTTTACAAAAACAAAGTCGTTTGTAGCTTTATAAATAGATTTTAGATGCATATATAGGTGCATCACTTTCGATAATTTATACAGAAATAAATTTTAGATCCAAACCTTGGTTCATTACAGTTTCTTTTTTTAGTTTGTTCGCCAATTTTTTAGTTTGTTATAAAACAGCTGACAAAGTTGCGTTTTAATTAATTTTTTGGGACATATGACACATTATGGAACTAGAGAGCTGGTGTGGTCTTGATGATGATGATGATGATTATGCTAATGATGATAATGATGAGGATGTTGAAGGTGAGGATGAGGATGTTGAAGGTAATTCTATTCCTTGCACTATTCTTTAATTTAACTAGATGTTTACTCCTCTGTGTTGCATGGAATAGTTAACATTGTTAAAATATTTAAGTGTGAGTACATTTGAATTGATGTAAAAAATGTCTTATTGAATAAAACTAAATTTAATAATTAATGCATAATAAAACAAAAGTATTTATAAACTTGATTCTTGAGATTTTAAGTGTGTATCCCACTATTCTTCACCCGTTTATTCTCCCCTTATTTTCTATAGTAAAATAAAAATTAAGATGTTCAAATTGTATTTGAAATCACATAATGTTATACCATCCATGACTTAACTAACATCACTATTTGTAGATGATACCAATTCCATTTTCTTGGAATATTCTGGACAAATTGTGTATGTATTTTGTTTATATTCTTTAAAAGTGGAATCTGATTTTTTTTAAAGGAGAATTTCCAGTAAATCAATTTCATGTTTATTCTTTGTATATTCATTTATTTTGCTCAATCATTATTTCTTTCTCGTCATCTTCTCTCTGATAAAAGCCAGTGCATTAGTTTTAGCTTTGTCCTATATAACTGGTAACCCCAAGTACACCTCCAGTATCCACCACCTCATTAATCCTTAACCATTCACAAACTTGTGACTTCTTCATTTGGTACATTTGTAAAAAAAAAAATACACTAGATTTATCCAAGTTTGCTTGTTGACCTAATGCATTACCATATACCTCAAAATCTCAACATTTCACAGCTTATTTTATTTTCCCTTAAAAAGAAAAGAGAATCATCCGAAAAAAAGGAAAGAAAATACATACATACAGTAATGTCATTTTTCAACACATGATTCCTAGCCATATTAGACAGTAGCTCAGCAACAATTATGAACATATAAGAAGACAAGGGGTCCCCTTGTCTTACTCCCCTACCTAGTGTAATATCTGCTAGTTTCTTACCAGATAGATTTATATTGTACTTCATTGATTCAATGCATCCCATAATTTGCTTGACCCACACCTCAGCAAATCCTATTTTGAGCAGAACTTCTATCAAAAAAATCCCACTCAACCTTATCATATGCCTTGCTCATATCAATCTTTAAAGCTAATTCATACTTCTTCTTCGCCTTCGTAATGAAAAGCTTCATGTGCCACAATAATGTTACCTTGAATCAATATCTCCTCAACAAAGGCACACTGATTTTGGGAAAATCAACTTTGGCATAATACTGCTCTTCATTCTATTTGTCATTACTTCAGCGATCATCTTATAACAGAAATTACACAGGCTGATAGGTTTATAATGCCCAACATTTTCAAGTTTGTGAACTTTTGGTATCATAACCAAATCTGTCTTATTAATATCCTGTAGGTCTACACCTTCGTCTGAATACTTCCTCACAACTTCAAACAGCATATCAATTGCCCACTTTCTCCCAAGAAAATTGATAAAAATGACCTTAAAAACCATCAGGTCTAGGCGCCTTCCCTCCATCAAGTTGGAAACATGCCAATCTCACTTCTTCCTTGCTCAGTTTTTTGTGTTGGCAGAAGACTATCACCATCATCAACACATTTATCCACATAACTGAGAGCCAAACTCGTATCCCCCTACCCGAAACTAGGAAATAGATTCTGATAAAATTTTGCAAATTCAAAAGCAATCATAGACTCATCTTTTAAAATGGATTGTAGTCTACTATAGATGAGAGCTTTCTTAAAAAAAAAAAAATTTGTACATTCAACCTAGGGGAAAAACTTGTAAATTTCATGAAGTTATATGTTTTTTTAACAATGTCATTGTAGGTGATATATGAATTCAATTTTGTTACATTATATACCTTAAAATTGTAAATTCTGCAATTAAATAATGTGCATCTACTTTCGTTTACATAGATGTGCGTGTATGCTTACCCCAAATAAATAAATCATTAGTAGACAAGCTCTAGTGTTAGTTAAAAGCAATGAGAATTAATAATGATTGATAATGATGGTCATGTTAAAAGAATTTTAATTATTTACATTCTAATTTTCCATCCACTTGTATATTTATGCATGCATTCATGTCAACAATGATGGTCCTTCTATAGGAGAGCAACCAATGCTAAAAAAGAGGTGGTTGATGGAGGATAACCATGTTATTTCAATAAGTTCTTATATATATATATTGAATTTGAATATTTTTAATCACTTTATATATCCTTTACCTTCCGTGTTAATTAATTAACTACATTTCAATTTATGATATTTTACATTCAGAATTCCATCAATGTTGACCAAGGTGATGCTCTATTCCTCTTCATTTTTCTAAAAATATAATTAGGAGCAGGACACATCCAACTTCCAAAAAATATAATTTAATGAAATAATCATATCCATCCGTTTATTTCAAGTAAATTTCATACAATGTTAATCAAATTCTAGAATGCTATGAATGTAGATGTGTATATATCCCAATATATCTTCACATAGTTTTGAAAACAATGATATTCAATTCAATTTTATTTAAAAAAAACAGAACAAGAACCCCTTGTTTCTAGTAAGAAGGATCTCCATGGCAATCTTCTGCAGCCACAAGTAATTAAATTCATTTGTTTCAGATTTTGAGACATTTATTATATTTTTGGTGGATCTATCTACACTTCTTGTTGAGTTTTTACAAATATGTGTAGGAAATTGAATATGAAAGCAAAAGGCAGGCAATAGACATTCAATCTCCAAGTACAAAAAATGAAGAATTGTTTCAAGTAAGGAGGCTAAATAAGAATATGACGCAACAACAAGATGAAGCTTCAACCAAGGATCAAACCACAGAGAGCTATATAATAGAGGTATATGTTGTAACTAATTATATATCATTTTGAAGATTAATCAGGAAATTTCTTCACAAGTATTGTGTTGGGTGAGGAACATATACTTTTACATTAAAATTATATAACTTGTTTTCTGGTTGAAATTGAATCATACCATTTTTACTATATAGAAAATATGATGTTTTCAACAATGGAAGAACACCTATAATATATCCCAAGCATTTAAGCAATACGATGTTTTTCACCATTGTCTGTATTTTTTGTCATTTCCCCTTGTTTGATATGTATGTTTCACTGTTTTTTGGAAGGAGATTTATAGATAAATAAATTGTGTGTGTTTGAAACAAATGCACGTGCATACACATGAATGGTGAGATTGGACTGTGAAATACTACTAATTGATTAACTTTCTTTTCTTGTGATTGCATGTTCAGATGATGAGACAGAATTACATGGATGACTCAAATAACAAAAGTAGCATGACATGGGATCCAATGGAAAGTGAATATGAAGGAACAAGTCATGCTAATAATAATAAGGATCCATGTGACCAGAGAAGAGATCATCCATGGTGGAAGAGGCTTTTGTGTTTTAATCTCTTCACTTTTGTTGCCTCCCTCTATTCTTCTTCATAGTCATCTTTCTCCATTACAAGACACTATAATGAATTCTATATCATTATACTCTTTTAGACTCTTCATCTTTTGTAACGATGTTTTTAGTTGTCAACTTTTGAATTCACGGAGAATTGCTTGATGCAGAAATTTTATTGATATGATTTACATTATAATTTTTCTCTTCTAGCCACGTTCTTTGAGGTCCCCATGTACTTACAGATTCAATTGATCATTCCATTACTATAAATATTATTTTTATCATATCACTACAAAAAAAAATGACTTTTAGCTACGACAGTAAAAGTCGCCACTGCCTAACGTTCCTATTCTTTCACAGGACTTTTGAATATTCTCTGTTTGTTACTAAACTTACTTGGCAATATCATTTTTTTATAAGTTATATATGATATTATGTTCATGTATCTTTGTTGATTTATTTCAAAAGGGGTGTTATCTATTTCATTTTCTATATTTTCTTCTGCTTTTATTTTACTAGTTATAACGAAGAACAATAAATTCTACTATTTTAACATATGGACAAATAATTAATATTATAAAACCTTTAGAAAATAGAAATAGTTTGTTATAAATGTGAAAGATATGGCCATTTTTATAATTTTTTTTAAAAATTATGTTGCAAGTTCAAAAGTCGCCGCTGAAAGTCACACTTTCAGTGGTGACTTTTACTGTCACCGTTGAAAGTTGAGAATCAACGACGACTTTTTAGTGTCGCCGTGATTGTCAGCATTTTTTAAAATATGTTATAATTTTTTTAAAAAAATTATGTTGCAAGTTTCAGTGGCGACATACAAGTTGCCACTGAAAGTCGACTTTCAGCAGCGACTTTTTAGTGTCACCGTTGATTGTCAACATTTTTTTTATTTCTTTTAAAAAAATTATGTTGCAAGTCAAGTCACCGCTGAAAGTCAACTTTCAGCGGCGATTTTTTAGTGTCGCCACTGATTTTCAGCATTTTTTTATTTCTTTAAAAAAATTATGTTGCAAGTTTTAGCGACGACATACAAGTCGCCGCTGAAAGTTGACTTTCAGTTCAGCGGTGACTTTTTAGTGTCTCTGCTGATTGTCTGTATTTTTATAATTTTTTTACTAATGTATAAACATCAGTATTTTTACTATTTATTCTTAGATATTTTTTATATTATAATTATAAATATGAATATTAAAATAAATAATATAACAACCTCAAGAAGTAAAAAAAATAAATAATACAAATTATATTGTATCAATTATATTTATAGTTTACTTTAAACAAAATAAATAATATAATTTATAATTTTATAAATTGAAAGAATTAAATTGAAGTATTTAAGGATAGTAATGATATTTTGTAATATTTAATATTTAATATATATGTGTGTTTGTATAGTTTAATAATATGTGTGTATATATATATATATATTTAATTATGTAATAATAGACTACAGGTTCATTCCAGCTTAATGGCAAAATGGTTGGACACAAAAGGAGGAGGTCACAGGTTCAAACCTTGGAGGAGACAACTTTCAAAATGAAAATATAAATTGATGCCACGTGGAGAGTGACATTGTGCCACATGGCGTGAGGTGAGGGTGACACGTGGAGGATGACATGGTGACACGTGGCGTGAGGTGGGGCGCCACGTGGACGGTGACGTGGTGCCATGTGTGTAAGTGAACCAACATTACTTTTCAACAACAACTTGAATATTCTGTGCCGACAACTGTCGCCATTGATACTTAACATTCAGCGACGACAGAAATAGTCGCCGCTGATGCATGGTTGTCGCCGCTGATTCTCAACTTTCAGTGGCGACTTTTATTATCGCTGTAGATTGAATCAGCGACAAGAGCTCTCGCGGCAACATTGTGGTGACTTTTTGTCGCCGCTGAAAACTTTCAGTGGCGACTTTTTGACTTTTGGCGGCGACAAATGTCGCCACAAATTCTCAACTTTCAACGGAGACTTTTTTTATCGCTGCAGATTGAATCAGCGCCAGAAGCTCTCGCGGCGACATTGTGGCGACTTTTTGTCGCTGCTAAAAACTTTTAGCAATGACTTTTTGACTTTTAGCGGTGACAAATGTCGCCGTTGAAAGTCAATTTTTTTGTAGTGTATATAGCTAATATGTCAATGATACATTAATGTAGGAGATGAACCCTTGCAATGTTTTAGATCATTTCTTAAAGTTTATTATTAAGATTATTTTTACTATTCAGGTTTTTTGTTTTGGTTTTGCTAGCTAGTTACCTAAGCTTTACAATCAAGTTGGACCATCTTTGAGGAATAGATTCATCAGACTATGAGATTGGGCTAGTTTTTCAAAATAAGGTTTTAAGTCTCTTTCTAAAATAGGATACAAATTTATATCAAAAAAGGGACACAAATTATATTATCATTAGACAACTTAAATTACTTCTTCCATATTATAAGACAAAAATTTTAATGGGTAGCGTGTTACATACTTAAGGTTATATCCTTAATATATTTTTCTCTAATAAATTGTTGCCACCTGGATGATTTTTCCAACTCACCAATTAACTGTCCTTAACATAGTTTTCCACCTTAAGCTTTCAAAAATGGAAAGAAAATGAATAAGCTAAATTTTTATCTCAATTAATCCTTGTACCCTCTGATGTTTTTGATGCCCTATTGCTGCCGTGCTATATGATTTTTGAAAAGGTGATCTTACAGTAAACAAATCTTGTATCCATTTATTTTGATGAAGGCCATGCTTGTCAAGCATTGACTCCCATGCATTAAGAAAGTCATTCTCGTATTCACATTCATTCATACAATGTCTCAATCACTATTACAAAAAGGCATTTTTACTACCCAATTTACGTCCCATTTTACAAGTTAGACTTAGAAAGAATACAATCCACGTCACCCAAGTAAAAAGAGGACGTAGATTGAAAAAAATTTATTTTAACAAAAAAAATTTAATAAGCCACGTCTCCTTAATTCTTGAGGGGACCTGGCTTTATCAGAATCCAAGTCCCCCACTCATGAGTAACGTGGCTTCTTTAGAATCCACATCCCCCCTTGAGGAGAGGGACGTGGCTTGTGAAGAAGCCACGTCCCCCTTGAAGAGAGGGACGTGGCTTCTCACAGAGCCAGCTGGCTTCTGCAGAAGCCACGTCCCCTTCTCCAGAGGGAAGTAGCTTGTGAAGAAGCCACGTCTCCCTTGAAGAAGGGGACATGGCTTCTAATAGAGCCAGCTGGCTTCTGCAGAAGCCACCTCCCCTTCTCCAGGGGGAAGTGGTTTCTGCAGAAGCCACGTCCCCCTTGAAGAGGGGGATGTAGCTTCATGGTAGAAGCCACGTCCCTTTCCTCTCTGGGGGACGTGGCTTCTCCTTCCCACTCAATTTTTAGCCCTGCGCCAGTCAAGTTTTTCAAAAGAACACTCAAAGTCTGTTGTGCCTGCCCTCATCTCCAATCAGAGTATCGTCTTTCTGCTTCTCGGTCTCAACTAAGCTTCTTCATCTGGTCTTTCTACTGCTCAGCCAAGCTTCTTGGTGTCATCTTTCTGCTGGCTCTGTGATCGTCTCTCTCAGGTTCTTAGCCTCTCGGTGCTTCTCAGCTTCTCGGCCAGTAGGAATAGTTGCTCTGCTTCTCGGTGCTTCTCATTTCTCACCAAAATTTTGGTTAGTGCTTCTCATGAATTTTCCAGCTAACCCACCGTTTTGTTCTGTTTTGTTAGAAAAGGAAGTCTGTAGGACAATCAGATTTTTCAAATTTCCTTCGTTTGCTTTTAAATCATGAGTATCAATAGAATTTCATCCCTGTACAAATATTATTATTCAAGCTTAACTTAGACATCTTTATGCCTGCATTCATGTTGAACATGTTATATAAATGTTCATTACTTGTTGAAAAGCTCGGCGTTGAGACTGCATTCTCTGAAATAGTCATCTGGGTTCAGACTGTTGCATATAATCTATCTGATTGTGGTTTTATTGATGTGGTCAGTGGCTATTAAAGACAAATCCTATTCCTATCTCATGTATATATAACAGTTCTTACAAGCTGGTGACTTGTAAACTCATAGCTTTGTTATTGAGTTGCTCTGTTGCATGCTTTCTTGGATAGTTGGGTTGTACTTCATATGATTTTAATCTTGTTTTAATCATGTCTAACAAGATTATTTAAAACTCAGCTCCTGGTTGAAAGTAAAATCAAGACCTAAAGATGCATAATGAGAATTAATTATTGCTTCTGAATAAACTTTCTATTTGGAGTTGCCCCAACGAAACACCAAGCAAAGGAAAAATAAAAAATATATACCAACAAGCTATGTATACGATTAGATTAGACCCAACAATACCATCTAATCCAATTAATTGATATGACTTGGAAGGACCAAGGTTTAAAAAAAATGGATAAAAATATCCTATCCCATAACTTTGTGGTAAATTTTGGAAACTTAATCATAAATCCTAGAATTTCAGTTGTAAAAATCAAAAAAATTAGTTGTACATACTAAATTCTGAAAACTCTATAAATTACAAAATTTATTTATAAATCCTGGAATCTCAGTTGCAAAAATCAGAAGATTAATTACAAATCAATTGCAGACTGGTAGAAGATTTGAAAATTTGAAAGCCTAGTTGAAAAAGTGAAATTCATAGCTCCAAATTGTGAAAGCTTCGTTGAAAAATACTGAAAAATACTGACCTTGATACAAGAAGATTTTAAGCTTATGAAAAATACTGAAAATTTTCCAATCTTTTGAACTCATTGTCTAGTACAAAAATTTAGTTGTTGGAACCCTAGGATTCATAAGGACTAAGGTAGACTTTAAGATTTAAAAAGCACTTCTAAATATACTCATAAATTTCCATTCTTTTTCATTATGAGCAAGATCTGAACCCACGCACTTATAGAATATGAGATCGGTCCTTAGCTTTTGTGGACCAGCATTCATTAGCACTTGATAAGCTTCCTTTGGTCACTCATAAGCTGTCGAGTAAATAGCTCTAAATTCAGCTGGTAATTGAGCTTCTTGAAGCCTGAAATTCTTAATATGATCTCATCTGTGAATCTCATATTTAGGAAAGTAAATTTTTGTGCTCATTTTCTGGTTAAATTTGCTCGGGACAAAGTAGGAGAGTATTTATCTTTTGATTAACCCTCACCTTTT